TACAATCCGTCCCCCACTTAGTTTCCAAATTTAGAGTCATGATAGGCAACTTAGATCCCACATTTTTTTCTGATGTTGTAGCCAACTTATATCCCTTGATGGACGACTTCCATAGTATTGTAGGAAATTGAGGATCACCTGTAGGGAACTTCGTAGCGACGTAGGCAACTAGGTTTTTGAGGTCGACAACTTAGGAGCCATCTTAGGCAACTTTCCACTCTATGGTAAGCAACTTCCATAGTATGGTAGGCAACCAAACTATCAACAACTTAGTTTTTGATATATGCAATGTAGCAACCATGTTAACCACTTATAACACTACTGCACACAACTAATTAGAAGGCTACTAGGTGAATTCACTAATACACACAATGCAATTAAGTTGCTTCTTTGTAGCGCCAAAGTTGCCCAATGTAGCATCAAAGTTGCTCTAAAAAAAGTTCATCAAAATATACCCATATGGGATCTAGTTTTGAAGAACTCGTCGCGAGAAACCCAACGGTGAATATGAATCTGAATACTGATACTCTAATCAAAAGCTATGACTTTTTAAATTTTATAAAACCCAAATAAATGCACGTACTTTTCCTTTCTTGATTGATGTGTGCAAAATAGGGAGCGTTCGAAGGGATGAGGAGTTTTGAAGAACTAGTCGCGAGAAACCCAACGGTGAATCTGAATCTGAATACCGATACTCTAATCAAAAGCTATGACTTTTTAAATTTTATAAAACCCAAATAAATGCACGTACTTTTCCTTTCTTGATTGATGTGTGCAAAATAGGGAGCGTTCGAAGGGGGATGAGGACCAGATACTTTCCCTTTTTGTAGTGTAATGATGACACGGGATGCCAATTACCCTTTATAGCAGGTCTGCTTGGATGCACCCCGTGCCGTGAGTTTTTTGTCGTGTACTACGTGCGCTTAGGAAGCCCAATTAGTGCAGCTGCACTAAGAAGCATTTGGGCATTATTTTTACCTTACATAGAAAAGTTTAGGGGAAAATGTGTGTTGTCCATCAGGACCCCCACGCCCTTACTTATCGTGCTAACAGTTACGTTGGACTATAATACAAGGTCCTTGTTAGACTACAACCTGGACTTTTGGATCCCAACTCTTATTACACCCTTAGGGCACTCCCGGTGCATTGTATCTTGTGTTTTATCATATGCACTAAATACGTGTTTAGATACAACTCTTCCAGTGGCTAATATCTTATTGTTGTATCTAAATGAGCTGCCACTTAATATGTTCTGTGAGGGAAAAGGAATAATTATCTTGGGTTACCTGATAATGGTTGTATCTTGGTAATATACATTCTCTCTCCTTTTCCTCACTAACTAGGCTTCAACAATGGTATTTGGACTTTTGCTTAGGTGGGATGTTTTACATACAACTGGCATCATTGCACTGGGTTTTCCCTAAGTACGACTCAAATAGTTTACATGAACTAGCTTGAAAATATTTGAAACTTTTTTGGAGATGACAACCAGATTCATTTCAGATGCAATTATATGTTTTCTGACAAGTGAAATGCACCATAGGTCCTAGAACTATCGAGGGGGTGGCAAGTTAGTCCTAAAGCATTAAAACTGCATTTCGCACTTTTTGTTAACTGAATTACGATGGATAGGACAGCTCGAAGATTGAATTATATATTGTGATGTTTAGTGATCAAGTACTGTGTAATAATCATTTTGACTAAACTGACCCTATTGATCTCTGACTTTTGTTCACCACAATGGGTTTTCTTATTTGTTGGAATTTTTTCTGGAAAAATGCTACTGTGCAATAATCATGATGACTAAGCTGTCCATATTGATCTTCTGTGATTGTTTTATTTGGTTCACAAGTTTTCCAATTGCCCCTGCTTGTAGCTTGTTATTTGTTGGTTGTTCATTGTATCCTGATACTCATTGACAACCTTCTTCTCCATGCGACATCTGTGGATTCTACTGCTCAAACAGGCCATGCAGGTGCAGGTGATTGGCAAGAGGAGATCTATCAAATGGTAAGACATGATACTGATATCATCCTTTTTGACACTCCCTTCCTTGGAACTTCCTAAAATTCGTAGACAGTGGCCCCTAGAACAATGGTAAGATGAAACTACACACCATGTTGGATGTTGGGGCCTTTTACTTTTGCACTTCATGTTGTCTATCTCCTTTTCTTTTGGTACGTGTTCCTAGAAATTTCTCTTTTGGAATTTCATACAGCAAGTGTGTAGATGCACTAAATTCTGGCAGTCTTTATAAGATATATATTACATGTATGCGGAATTCTGTATGAATGTGGAGTATGGAGCATACAACCATACAATGTATGTGGATGTTGTAAAGTCTCAAGGCAGTTAGCAATCTTTATTAAAGCTTTTTTTTATGGGCATCATAGTTTCTTATTTTCTTCTAGATCTATATGCTGCTAAAAGCTACCCCCTCTGTAAGCTAATATAAGAGCATTTAGATCACTAAATTAGTGAGATCTAAACGCTCTTATATTAGTTTACAGAGGGAGTACTTGAAATATCTTGCCAATGCCATATTTTCTGACTTAATGACAAACCATGGTTTATTAGCTGTTCTGTTTTCATCTCTATATTGCTTCTGCACCAAATTAATGTGTATGTGGTCTTTGTTGTTGACAGATTAAGAGGTTAAAGGACCAATACTTTGCAGAACTCAGTGAA